GCGGGCGCCGGGGCCGGGAGCGGGGCCGGGGCGCCGAGCGGGACCGCCCGGTGCCCGCAGCAGCCGCCTGAAGAGCCGCGGGGAGCGGCGCGGCCCCGCAGCAGCCGCCGGGGAGAAGGAGAAGGAGGAGGTGGAGGMGGCGGCCCGGACGGCGAGCCCGGTAGGAGGGGGCCACCAGGATTCGAGCGCCCTCGCCCGTGTTTACACCGCTCTATGAAACACGCGCGTGCAGGAAGAGGGAAATTCAGTTGCTCCCGCTTAACAGGAGCGAGTTTGGAACATCCTCGGGAAAATACCGCAGTGGTGACTGACCGTGTCAGGTCTGCCGGGGGTGGGGAAGGAGGACAAGATGATGATGAACTGTGTGTTTTGGCTTACTGTGTCCCAGGTGCCCCTTGTCTTTTTTTTTTCCCATTTTATATACCTTTATAATAACTATTTCTGTGGTGATGTAGCTCAAGATCAAGCTGCAGCTCCTTGAAAAATAATTGAGCTGCTCATTTTGCAGGCTTATTAAGTTCTGTGGCCAGCCTGCAATTTGTGTTGCCTGGYGGGTTTTACTTTCTTTTTATTTGAAGGCTAAACTTCAGGGCCTTTATATTTTCTTTCTTTCTTTCTCCTTTTTTTGCTGCAGTCTTCCTCACGCAAAGCAACTGAGAGACGACCCTCGAAGAGGCGCAGAGGAGGGAGAAGCAGGGCTGGACCGGCAGCGCGAGGAGCAGCGGTGCCGGAGGAAGCCATGGGTGGGCGCCCGGGCGGCCCCGGACCCGGCGCCGTGCTCGGAGCGGGTGGCAGCGCCCCGGGGGAAGGCGCCGAGGCCCGGACCGGGGAGAGCGGCTGCGAGGGTGGGCTGTGCGAGGAGCCCGGCGGGCCGCCGGCGCTGCTGGTGCCGCTCGACAGCGGCGCTCTCCTGGATGAGGACAGTAACCAGCCCATGCCCATGGAGCGGTTCTTCGGCAATGTCGAGTTCATGCAGGTAGGGYGATGCCTCGTGCACCCGGGCCTGTGAAAGTCTGTTTTCCTTCCGTCTCGTCTCCCAGTGACGATGGGCTAGCTTCAAAACCTTAGGCAAACTTGACAGTCCTCTGGAGAACTGTTTGCCTTCTAGATAGAAACACAGACCTCACCCAGAGATGAAATTACTTCTCTGGCCAAGTCTAATTCAGAAGCAAAGTCTTTCCTGTTCGGATTAAATTATTCTACTTCCACAGGATAAATATTTTTACTCATTAAATATAGCTGAATTTTGGAGACCTTATATACTAAGCTAGTTTTTCACTCATCACTGGCTCTTAATTGTGGTTACTTAAACACTTGGGCATAGGAACGAATTTCTGACTGGCTGTGCTTTCCAACAGGCCAGTGACAAAATGATAAATTCAAGTCCCAGGCCCATCACTTCTGAGGTCTGTGTTAATAGCTTGTGTATCAGGTGTAGGAGAATGGTAAGGATTGGACATGTAAGAATGTTATTTGCAGCAATTTTTTTTTTCTCAAGTTTTTTATCTTTTTCCTTCAAGGACCTCCCAGCTGCTGCACTTGGAAGCACAACAATGAGCAGACGAGAATTTAGAAAGCTGCATTTCATTGCAAAGGAAGACGAGGAGGAGGAGGCAGAGCATATCATCTAGCCACAACATGTAAAACAAACAAAGCTATTTTTTTAAGGATTTTACACCATGATATTGGTTAGTGAAATGCTATGGCTGGCTGTATCACTGCCCTGATGCATCTGTATTCACCTTTTCTCAGGGGGAGAACTGGTACGGTTTGTTTCTTTGAGCTTGTCAGATGCAGTACACTCCCATGGTTATTTGAGGGGATGGGGGAGGGAGAGTTTGAATTTTTTAGAGAATTGGAAATAAATTGTAGTTTAGCAGTTTATCATTTACAATTACTAGGGGAAAAAAAGCATAAAAGAATGGACATTTCGTTTACTCTGCTGTAATTCTGAGCCAATACCTATAATGTTCTTAGTGCTCTTTTAAAAACTAAAGAAGCAACCAGTTTGGGAGCACGGATAGTCATTTTCCTTATAATTGTGATTTTTTTTGAGGGGGGCCATCTAATTAGCAATTTACCTAGTAGGCTACCAGTACAAGGGAAGGATATGAGAGGATATCAGCCTCTGTTATCCTTATGTTTATGTCAGTAAACTTATGTTTACTGTTGCATGGTTTACTTACAATTTAAACCTTTAAAATGCAGTTCTGCTGCCAAAGCTGAATGCACATGTCAATGTGAGCTCAGTATTTTTGGTCTCAAGATGATAAATTTTTATTGCATGTCAGTTTTCTGAACAACTGCCATGTGAATTCCATTGCTTCCCTCTTCCATCAAATCAAGTAAGAAAAATTGCCATGTTAAATATTTGTGCAATTCAACTTGTGCAGTATTGCCTTCAACTGACTGCCAAGGGTTATGAATAGATTGTTTTTTTTGAGATGGTCACTGATGGTGATAAAGGGAGGAATAAAATCTCTGTACATTRGACTTTTTTGGTAGGTGAGTGAGGATCGATTTTTAAGGATAAGCTCAGTACTCCAGATTTATTCTTTTTGCTGGTATTTTTGGAAAGTAAAAAGGAACCTCAGAGATTTCAGGAGCAGCTCATTCATTCCATGTTTATGATAACAGTTCTTTGAAAGTGTGATTATGCAATAAGCCTCCACAACTTTATTTTTTTATTATAAGTAGTTTTCCCTACATTTGTAAAAAGCAAATATAATCAGCAGATGGTTTAAATAAATATTAATTTCCACAGCTATAGCCTGTTAAACATTCATATTAAAATTGTAAGCCAAACAAATTGTATATGCATGACATGCTAATTCACTCACATTCCTATTCAGCTGGTACATTGCTTCTGTCAGTGGCATTTCTTGGCCCCCTTTCCATCTATTTCAGTAATACACAAAGATTTAATTCAATACCACTCTCAGAGTTTTCAGTACAACTCCACTGCAATGTAGTCCTTCCAACCTTTCTCAAGCTAGGTTTATTCACTGCCGCCTCTTTCTAGTAAATAAGCTTTTACATTTAGATCCTCGTCTTGGTTTTAGCACCGTACAGAATGGTGATTGTCAGTGTGTGTGTCCAGTTGATCACACAGYATTTGTCATGAGAATCTTTGCTGTTGTGGCTTCTAGAACGCCAAAACAGCAGATAGTGCATTTTCTGACTTAATTACAGGTGACGTGCTTTTTGGGAAGAGGAGGAGTGAACTCAATGCTGCATTAGAAGTGCACCAACTTGCATTTAATTTTGAAAAGCTTTGGAGGGAGGTAGAGTCTGTTGTTTACTTTTCAAGTAACTTAATACTCTCTGTACTCTCTAGAGCAAAACTGCATTTCCGAGACTCGCACAACAATATGATCTTAATACAATTTTAAATGGACTGGCTGAATTTGTATGGCCAAGAAGGAAGASCATTTCATTACAGAGGAGCCAAGTATGTTCACTGCAAAGAGGTATCTAGTGATGCACTCATAAATGCCTTTCCTTATGCTCATTCCTTTTAATCTCATTAGTTTAGTCTTASGATTTCAGTCTGATATGTTTTACTAACCACTCAGGTACCTTTGCCTTCATATACACAGGTAGAAAGATTCCCATGATTTTTTTTTAATYAAGAAAATACAAATATTGCTTATGTTGACATCCCTGAGAATTTAGTTGCTATCCAAAGATATTTTTAAAAATAAATAATTAAAAATGGTGTATTTTGTTTCATGAGAGGTAGGGAGCATGTTTCAGAAGCCATAAATATTCTAAAGCAGGACATCAATGTGATGCTTTGCCAATAACACTGCATGTCTTGCTTCAAGCAAATTCAAGCTAAAAAGGCAGAAACTGTCTGAAAGGAGAGGGAAATCAATGGGAAGGATGACAAATAGAAAACATTGTAAAAGCAAAGATGGCCCTGCTGCTCCTTGTAGAAATTGAGCATCTAAACTAAGAGCAAATGGAATGGCTGGGGTAAGTGCAGCTCTTCTCATACAGAAAAGCCGGCGGCTCTGTCACTGAATCAGCATTTGGCACATCTGAAATACGGTAGTTGCCGACCCGCCAAGAGGCRGAGAGCACCATAATTATCCTGTGCTTTGCCTTAATGTTTCAAGGAGTCTATTTTTTTAGTATGATTTATAGCTGTACTTTACCACACTTAATGTAACGTGATCTAAGCAAGGCCTGTAATAAGCAGAAAGGGGAAGAGCTGCATTAGACATGATCCARGTGTACGCGTTGGGAGATTGCAATGGCATCACTTGGGGTCCTTAGCAGAAGAGTCACTTTTGGTGTGGTGCTAGGAAATCTTCTGGGTTTGCTTCCTTTTCCTGTAAATTTTAGTTTTGTCACAGCTAAGATTATGATTGGTTTTCTTATGGCAAGCAATATGTACCAGTTTTAGATTATCCAAGGTAAACAACAGCTGATAGAAGTATTCCCAGTTCACTTCTCTTCCATCCCGTGCTTTGACAGCTTCTGCCAGTTCTGGGACAACGGTTCGTTTCTTCTCTATTCTGCAATGAATAACAGCAGTGGGGGGAATTACTTTTTTTTCTCCCATAACAATATTTGCATCCTGCTCTAAAAGCAGGATGGAAGTCAAATTCTTTTGCCGTAAGTAGGTTTGCCTGTTTGTTTCCCTGAAGAGTTGTTTAGCACATCCTGTCTGCTTTAGAAGTGCACACTGCCTGAAAATGGGTCTAAGGTTGTTTTTTATTTGTAGACAGAGCAAATCTGAACATGAGCAAAGCAGCTAATGAGAGACTGCATTATAATCTATCTTCAGGGTTTATGTTGCCAGACGCTGTTGCACCCGAGCATCTTTTATGGCAACATTTCACAGTGGAGCTCAGTGTGTGATGGGGACAAAGAAGGGAGAAAGCCTCACTGGCAACATCTGTGCTACTTCAGATGAAGAGCCCGCAATGGGTAAGTTGCACTGATACTTCATACATACATATGGTCGAGATTCCAGGTACTGAAGAGGATTCTGCTTTCCCTGTTACTGTAGGGGTTGATGGAGTGCTTACAAGGGCAGAAATCTCTGTCAAAAGGCCCCTGAAAAACAAGATGAACACAATGAAGGGGGTACTGYGGTTCAGCCTAGCCCTGTCCTACCCTGGTATTGACAAAGCTTTTGTTTGCTGTAAGCAGAAATAAATCACACAAGCCTCGCTGAGCTTGATCGATACCTCACTACACAAACATCAAATTATCTCCTTCCTCCAATACTGTCTTTGTGAAACACGCCTCTGCTTGTTGCAGTCAGTCAAGGCCCTGCTTTAGAGAGGGYTGAACTTACTTGACAGGAGAACCATCCCTCCACGGTGCACAGGCGAGCTGCCTCCTCCTCCTCTCGCCTGTCAAAGTAGCACCCGTTATATTTCACAGATTTCAGTTTATCCAGCATAAGGTCGGTTATCTTTTTATATGCATCTCTTGCTGTCGGATGAACGTTTGAAATAAAGCCATTAACCTTAAATTGAATAAGCAAAAGTCATCCATTAGTGCTCACGGAAGGTTGAAGCTTTTCTTCTACAGCAAACGTTGCTCTACCAAAGCATTTTTTTGATACATGGGATTGTTGAATTACTTTTAGTAGCAGCTTGGAAGTGTTGCTTATTACAAACTTTCACCTCTTTCATGTAGCTTCGTATTCTGTTTTCACAACTGTATCGCATGTAGCTTGACTTATTCTTAAAACGAGACTCCAGACCTAAAGAGAGTTATTTTGTAATGCACACAGTACTGTTAATTCAGTACTTCTGCCAAGATTTATCCCTTCTTTTCATAAAACTTGGTATATGCATCTTTTTTTCTTTCCCATTTTTATTTTATGGGTCCAAGACTATCCTGCTCAGGTGCAGACTGCTTGAGAGCAGTCATGGATACGTAACTGTTGGGTGATTCCTATTAACGTGCATTCACAGAGGAGGTGGGAAGACCACGAGATAAAAGCTGAGTTCAGGAAGAACTGCAGAGCTCGACACAGCCTGCARAGTGGAAGGTGAACTGACCAAACTTCAAGAGCAACTAGGGAAGGCTTGGCTGGCTGGTACGTACAAGTCAGGCATGTGTTACTAGCGGGTGTGAAGAGGTACGTGCAGATCTACTCTGTGCTGGTGGGGCTAGTCTCCCGAGTGTGTAGTGCAGAACAGCAGGGGATGAAGCAAGGGGAAGCGGGATGACTTCCCAGGGGGATGGACATGCGTTTCGGTGTGCTAAAGAGGCAAGGCGCAGAAGAGGTGGCTGAGGTGGCGGCAGCCCCGCCGTGCCGCGGCAGCCCCGCTGCCCCTGCCGCCGCGTGGGCCCGCACTCGCCTTCAAACCAGGGCTGGTCCTCGTGGCGCTGCTCGGCGCCGCTGTTCTCCTCCACGTTGCGCAGCACGTCCAGCAGCAGCTTCTGGCGCGCGGGCGCCCGCTCGCCGGCCAGCAGCGCCCGCGCCGC